AAATTTTTTCCGGGGACCTCTTGGACCGAGAAGACCATTGCTTCACTGTTCCTCTTTCTTTTTCTTGTCTATTACACAACAATAAACAAACGTTCACAGAATCAACGTACAGAACTTAGAACCACCGTACAGAACCTGTTCATCGCGATTGGACCCTTTTTCCGGTGGATTCTTCACTCCGAACAGCCACAGAAACCATCGCGCTCGCCGGACGACCTTTGCCTGAAAAACCCAGCACCATCGGAGGTCAGACGCGCCTCCACGCGCCGACAGCTTCACCGGCGCGTGACAGCGCGTGACAGTGGTTCTCGGCCGCGGACCACCACAGTTCTGATCGTCTCTCCAAGCCGGCTCTGGATCTGTGCTCTTCACTTTGATCGGACATCGTTTGGTATTTTTTTCCGAATTTCTTGGCTTCTTGGAGTTTGTTCTTTCACCAATTTCTTGCCTCCGACCAGATCTGACGTTGTTTGGTATTTGTTCCGGCCACTGCGTTACTGTTTCGGCCGCTGTGTTACTGTTCCGGTCAGATCTGACGTTGTTTAGTATTTGTTTGTGATTTTTTGGCTTCTTGGTGCTATTCTTTGACAAGTTTTGTGCAGTATGGCCTCTTCTCAAAGGAGTTCCTTTACAAAGTTTTCTGATGGTGCAACTTCTGAACCTAAGAGAGATGATCGATGGTGTTCTTATTGTAAAAGAACAGGTCATATCAAGGATCTATGCTTTCGCCTCCATGGAAAGCAAACTGTCTTAGAAAAGATGAATAGGATGCATGGTCAACAGCATTTTACTTCCTCTAAAATAAATTCTGCATTTCGTCCAGATGAGTTGGAATGGCTCCGAACCCTTCTTGATTCTTTGAGTAAGCCATCTGATACTAGTACTTTGACTATGACTGGTATGAGCTCCAAAACTTCTTCTTTCATTTCTTCATGTAATGATTTTAAACATTCTTGGGTTGTTGATTCTGGTGCTACTGATCATATGGCTTGTTGTGCTGACTCCTTTACTTCTTATCATCCTACCATTGGAACTCATACAATAGCCGTAGCTGATGGCTCTCATACATCAGTTGCGGGTTCTGGTGACATAAACTTACAGCAGTCCTTACATCTTAAGGATGTTCTTCATGTTCCTAAACTCTCCACGAATCTTTTTTCGATTCGTAAAATTACAAAAGATTTGAATTGTACTGTAACCTTCTATCCTACCCATTGTGTTTTTCAGGATCTCGCCACGGGAAAGACGATTGGTAGTGCTAAAGAGCAAGGTGAGCTGTACTATCTGGTGTCACAATCTCCTGCAAATAAAGTAACAGATCACATCTTGATGTCTCATGGTCAATCAACTGCTGATTCTTTGATTTTGCTTCATCATAAGCGCTTAGGTCATCCTCCATTTAGTTTACTCAAATCTTTATTTCCGTCATTATTTTTGTCTAAGTCTGTTGAGTCTTTTCATTGTGATGTTTGTGAATTTGCTAAGCATCATCGTGTGTCTTTTCCTTCTAGTATTACTAAGAGTGCTGAACCTTTTGATCTTATTCATTCTGATGTTTGGGGTCCCTCTAAAGTCCCTCATGCTTCTGGAAATAGATGGTTTGTTTCTTTCATTGATGATTGCACTAGTGTAACTTGGGTGTACTTAATGCATGAAAAGTCTGAGGTACCACAACTGTTCTTTCAATTTTATAAAATGGTTGAGACCCAGTTTGGTAAAAAAATAAGAGACTAAGAACAGATAATGGTACTGAATATGTTAATCACAGTTTTTCCCAATTTATAAGAAATAACGGTATGATTCATGAACTTACTTGTGTTGACACCCCCCAACAGAATGGGGTTGCTGAAAGAAAAAATCGTTACCTTCTTGAAGTGGCTCGTGCATTAATGTTTCAGACACATGTACCCAAATATTATTGGGGAGATGCTATTCTTACTGCAGCATTCTTGATCAACCGTTTACCCACTCGGGTACTTGACCATGTAAGTCCTATTCACTCCATGACTTCTTTTTTCCCTTCTATTCCAATTATGAGTCTTCCTCCACGTGTGTTTGGGTGTGTTGTTTTTGTTCATATTCATAAACATCATCGTAGTAAGTTGGACCCTAGGGCTATTAAATGTGTTTTTCTTGGTTATGCTCCTGTTAAGAAGGGCTACAACTGCTATCACCCTAGTAGTAGGAAATTTTTTGTTTCTATGGATGTTACATTTCAGGAATCTGAGTCTTTTTTCCAAGGTCCTCATCTTCAGGGGGAGAATCCTTCACCAGAAATCTCATCACCTCCCGTCTTTGAGTTTGAATCTTCAGTGTCTACTCCTTTACCTGTGTCAGTGTATCCTCCTCTTGGTCCTGTTCATCCTGTGTATGTTCCTCTGTGTCTGATCCTCCTGTGAGTAATCCTTCTGTGACTGATTCTCCTGTGATTGATACATCAAGTACACCAGAGATACGAAAGATTATGACACCCGAGTTGGTATATCAAAGAAGGAAACAACCCACATTGCCTCAGCAGCAACCTCAATCGTCTGAACCACTGGTAAGTCCTAAATCTCATATTTCTGATCATGATGTTAATACTTCTGATGACTTACCCATTACTACTGATTCTGATGATTTACCCATTGCTCTTAGAAAAGGAAAAAGAGCTTGTCCCAAGAAATCTTGTCCCTCCTGTCCCTCTTGTACTCAATACCCTATCTCCCATTTTGTTTCCTATGCTAATCTTTATGTGCAGCACAAAAGCTTTGTTTCAGCACTAGACTCTATTGCAATCCCAAAATCAGTACATGAAGCCTTGAAAGATGGGAATTGGGCTCAAGCCATGCAAGAGGAAATGAATGCGTTGGAGAAAAATAAAACATGGGAGGTTATTGATAGACCTAATGGAAAGAAAGTAGTAGGGTGCAGATGGGTTTATGCCCTGAAATATAATTCTGATGGAACTCTTGAGAGATATAAGGCTCGATTAGTTGGCAAAGGTTACACTCAAACCTATGGCATTGATTATGAAGAAACATTTTCTCCAGTTGCAAAGATGAATACGGTGAGAGTCTTGTTATCCCTTGCTGCCCATTACAATTGGGATATAAATCAATTTGATGTGAAAAATGCTTTCCTCAATGGTGAGTTAGAAGAAGAAGTCTACATGGAAATCCCGCCTGGTTTTGATTCTGTGAAGGGAGAAAATAAAGTTTGTAGATTAAAAAAGGCCTTGTATGGATTGAAGCAGTCACCTCGTGCCTGGTTTGGAAGGTTTACTAAGGTTATGATGACCTTAGGATACAGACAGAGTCAAGGAGATCACACTCTTTTCTTCAAGCACTCCCATAATGGGAAGCTTACTGTGCTCCTTGTATATGTTGATGATATTATTATCACAGGTGATGATTTTGTAGAAAAACAGATTCTGCAAACACGGCTTGCCTCTGAGTTTGAAGTCAAAGACCTTGGGAAACTGAGATATTTCCTAGGGATAAAAGTAGCTCATTCAAGGAAAGGAATTTTTATTAGCCAGAGGAAATATGTTCTTGATCTTCTCAAAGAAGCAGGAAAGCTCGGGTGTAAACCCTCTAATACTCCTATTGAGCAGAATCACACGATATGCTATGAAGAAGAGAGTCCTCCAGTTGATAAAGGACAATATCAACGGCTAGTTGGGAAATTGATATATCTGGCTCATACTAGACCAGATCTAGCTTATGCTGTTAGTGTTGTCAGTCAGTTTATGCACGATCCAAAGGAGAAACACATGCAGGTAGTAGAGAGAATTCTGCAGTATCTTAAAGCTACTCCTGGTAAAGGATTGTTATTCCGACGTGATGGCAATCTCTCTTTAGAAGTTTACACTGATGCTGATTATGCTGGATCCGTGACTGACCGTCGTTCTACCACTGGTTACTGCATGTTTCTTTGCGGTAACTTGGTGACATGGAGAAGTAAGAAACAAGATGTGGTCGCCAGATCAAGTGCAGAAGCTGAATTTCGAGCTATGGCTCAAGGCATTTGTGAGTTACTGTGGCTGAAAATTATACTTGATGATCTAAAAATAAAATGTGAGGGACCTATGAAGCTGCTATGTGACAATAAGTCCGCTATTTGTATAGCTCATAATCCGGTTCAACATGATCGGACTAAACATATTGAGGTCGACCGCCATTTCATCAAAGAGAAACTTGATAGCGGGTTGATTATCACTCCATACATTCCCACTGGGCGTCAATTAGCTGATCTATTGACAAAGGGACTTCCTTCAGACAGATTTCAAGAACTTACTAGCAAGCTGAGAATGATAAATATTTATTCCTCAGCTTGAGGGGGAGTGTTGTAAATATTTGTTATTTTATTATTATTAGTATTCGTTGTATTGGGCCAAGCCCATTAGGTCAAGTATTAGGGTTTTCATTCTCTATAAATAGAGACCTCTTTGTACAGATTATTTACACAATTCAATAATATTTCAAATACCCTTTTCTTTCAAGTGTCTTCAATCTTAATGCTTCGTGCTCAAGTTAATTTGTGTTTTACTTGAACTCTTGGCAGTTATCAGCAGAAAACAAAGAATACTGAAAATGTCAGCAGGTATATAACACATCATTTTATTTTATTTTATCATAACTGGTTTTCCTTCCTCAATCCTTAGTCTTCAAAAAAGTTAAGATGAAGGAAGATATGAATTTCTTTGTGTAACTTATAATCACAACAAAAAAATACTGAAATTGTCAGTAGGTATCTACAATCTAATATGAATTTCTTTTGTGTAACTTCTAAGTCGTGAAGAATTTACTATGGCTCCTTATATATTTGAAGTTCCAAATTAACAACTATGTATGTTTTTATTTTTATTTTTATTTTTGTGAGGTTATGGTTCTCAAATTCAGTTGTAAATTATAATTCTTTACAGAACTCCATGTTTTCTTGAGATTTCAGAATTTCCATGTGTATATCCTCCTTGAAACTACTGATGTATTTTCTATTAAAATTTCTTATTCACGAGGCTAGCAAATCTCCTCGTTAAGATCTCCATGCAAGAAAGCATTGTTTACGTCGAGTTGAAGTAAGTGCCATCCTCTAGAAGCAACCATAGAGAGCAACACACGCACAATGGTCATTTTTGCAACGGGGAAAAATGTGTCAAAGTAATCAACACCTTCTATCTGTGTATAGCCTTTGACAATGAGTCTGGCTTTGTATCTCTCTATAGAACCATCAATTTTAAGCTTTATCTTGTATACCCACTTGCATCCGATGATGCGCTTATCAGGAAGACGATCAACTAAGACCCAGGTGTTGTTTTGTTCCAAAGCATATATTTCTGCTTGCATCGCTTGCTGCCAGCACTCATGCTTAGATGCTTGAGCATAGTGCTGAGGTTCAATATGGCAAATGGAGTTGCAACAGAACCGAGAAAAATTAAGAATTATAGGATATGACACTAGACAGAGGAAAACGAGTGCTTGCAAATGAGGAAAAATTGCAATGAAAATCAGCTAGTAAGTCAAATGTTTGTAGCTCTCTCTAAGACTATTGTTGACTAGTAAGTCACAAGACAATATGTCGACTCGTCGTTGTGTCTTAAATTATAATCATTAAGGTGATAACTAAATAATTAACATGTTTGTGCTTTTAAAGGAAAACACAAACAACAAAAATCATGACTAAAGAAAGTGGGTGATTTTTTTTTTAAATTAAATTCTAAATAAAATATATATTAATTTTTATCTTTTTTTCATTTAAAATAACACAACTCTATGTTCTTTAAAAGGAGAAACATTTTTCTCTTGCACAAACTTACAAATCTTCAGTCCTATAGCACTATATGATACATTGTTCCTTATACTAACTGGATTAAATTTAAACGATCAAAAAATAGTCTTTACTAGACACCAAACCATGAAAAAGCGTTTCCTCCATGTAACAGCTTGGACGATAAATCAAGGAAGACTTGCATTCATGTCTAGATTTAACTTCATTAGTTCAAAATACTCAACATGCATTCATGTGTTCCAGTTCTATAGTGACAAATAATGATAATAATAATAATAAAATATCCAAGCCATGTAAGCAGATGCTGTAAATGAAGGGAAGATCACGAATTACTCAATTAGCTAGTTTGAAACCAAATACTAGCTTGTTAATAAATTTCATCCTCAAGGGCAAGTGTAAATAACATACAAGTAGGTAGTGTTGGACCTCATTGTCAACAAACAATAACATAGGAATATCATATAACTTACAACTCAAGTTTCATTTAGTACAACAATTAAATATAAAAAGAATCCGGGTTGAATTATCCTTGGCACGTTTTAAGAACAAGTTAGGTGGCAGAGAGAAATCTTCTGATGCAATCTGGGGGCAAAAAAAAAGGTCCACCTTGATCCAAAAATGACATCAGGAGGTCAAGCCATTATGACCTCAATTGTAATTCAGTAATATCCATGAAATTGATTCTTTGGTTTCTTTCCATAATGCTTGATACTATATTCTTGAATAAAAGCTGGCATTTCAGGTGTCAAAATATAGAACTGGCAACAACAAGACACCCCCATTTACTTAATTACTTCCTGATATTGAGGAGCTCAAAGCTCCTCAGAGGATCATCACGGTTGCCTCTTGTAGACCCACTGCGCATAAATGTTGCTTGTTTGGTTTCATACACAGGTTGAACTCTATGCGGGCCAGGTGTACGACCCCCATTTGAGGTCAGCCTGCCAGTATAATCGCCTGACGAAATTTGCTTGTTTGATGAGACCATGGCTCTTCTTGAACTGCTGCCGTATCGTGAGGAACTGTGTTGGGCATAGTGCTGTAATACAAGGTAAAGCTAAACATAAGAATAATTGAATGAACAAATACTTAGTTTCATCCATGAGTAAAACAGAAAAGGAAGAATACATTGGGTAGATAGTAAAGCAAATCATGCAACTAAAATAGTGTCCTTATCAATCATCAATAAGAACAAGCAACGTTATCATCAACTGCAACCTTTCCTGTTTAAAATGTTTTACTCCTAGTGTTTCAGTAATTTTTTTTTACTCCTCTCAATTTTCATGTTGATTACTTTTTTGTTGAGAACTGATGTCAGGAACCTACAGTATCAACGATAGAAAAAATAGAGCCAGTGAATTTCAAATCGACCTTAACTGAAAATTGAAGCCATATACAAAATAACAAGTTAAAATGAATCTCATAACATCAGGTTATGAGAAAAAGTAAACTAATTCACTCTCTAATTGATATCTTTATCCATTTCTTCCATAATGAAAGTACTCCAAAGTCCAAACTATAATCCCTCCAAGGAAAAGATATAGCATGCTACTCCGCTACAAACTAGATATACAGAAAATAATATTCTTCTCAATAGAAAACTTCAGATGGTGATTTATATATTCTAATTGTTGAAAAATATATATATATATATTACCAAATCATTGTGTACTGCTACATCCTCATAAGTCCTTTGTCTGACATGATCAGCACGAGGACTAGAACTTGCAGGGTTCCTTCGGGAGAATGCTTCAACTGCACCAGAGAATTTCTCTCTAATCTCTTTCCCGACTGAAAGAAGTAATGCATGACCAAAGATTATATAACAAGAAATTTGAGAAAGTAAATTAGTTTCACCATTGATATGAGCGATGAAAAAGATAATCATATATGAATGCGTTAATACGATTATTTTCTGGCACAACATATATTAAATTCAAAATTCCTGACCACCCAAGGTTAGACTCATTAAGAATTAGCAAAACACCAAATTTGATTAGCTTATTCAGCTGAAAGAGAATAAACCTGAGACTTTTTCTGGTCTATGTAAAGGTGTGGCTCCATACATAGCTGCCTTGCCAGTGTCATGCTGTTATTAAAACAATTACAGTAAGCGACCAACAATAGCCAGCAAACAGTCAACCAAGCAAGATATAAAGGTACTAACCCGCCCTCTAGAGTTGCCACCAATCTGTGGATACTTCAATATAGTCCAGTCAAAAACATAGTCAAATTGATAGCCTGCATGAATAATCTCCAGATCAATTAACAGCCACTAAACACACTAAAAGTTTTCAGCAAAATATTTTGAATGCATTAACCATATTAGATATTTTGGGTAACATACCTTCTCGAATAAACAGGTCTCGGAAAAGTCTCTTTAAATATGAATAATCTGGCTTGTCCTCAAACCGCAATGACCGGCAATAATGGAAGTATGATACAAACTCAGGGGGATATGATTTGCAGAGCACCTGTTCATACAAGCACATAATTCAATAGGACCAATAAAATTGAGATCTGGCCTGAGACAGAAGGGGAAGGAAGAGGGAAAACTTTACAAGTTATGCCAAGTGCCAACTATTGAATGCAAGGAATATAGGATTGAGAATTAAAAAGTGCACATGAACCTTAGAGTATTTGCTTGACCTTAGTATTGTGCACAAGTAGAACAATCAGACCTAGTTCTAATGTACAAGAAATAGTCCTTGTATAAGTATTCAAATTCAAACATGCAAACTATTATGGGGCTGGCTTTCAAGCCTGGCCTGTCATATTAACCTCCAAGGCATCACAACGTCTGACCTAAGTATCAAATCTATTTCTAGTATTAATTTCTACAAAAACCAAACAGATCTAGCTAGTCACAATACCTCTATGCGAGTTGACACCTTTGTCTCACTGATTTTATCATATTTTTGTTTTTTGGTGCCGGCCTTCAGTCCCTGCCAAGGAAGACTGAAAAAGGAAAACGTAAGAAACAAAGACAACAGAAAAATATTGAAAAAACATCCAAACTCTAGTAGGGGGTAAAGTGTATATATATATATTTGTTAATTATCCAACCTTCCTCTTAAGAAATACATGAGCACATAACCAAGAGATTCCAGATCATCCCTTCTGCTTTGTTCTACCAGCAAAATAAAGTGCAATTAGTTAATAGAAAACATTCAAGTCTAATAATGTAATAATTCACTTCTAATTATATGTTGATAGAAGAAAGGAATGAACCAGCAGAAAATATTACTCACCAATTCCAAGATGAGTGTTGACACTTGCATAGCGTGCTGTGCCTGTAAGGTTCTTGTTTTCCCTATGCAAGGAACACAAATATGAAATCAAGAAGGATATATTTCAAACCAGGGGTTTCAATGCCCTGAGATGGGTTTGAATGGTTATCAAACACTATTCTACCAGAGCCAATGAGAACTTGTGGGACCTACATTTAAGTGAAAACTTTTCTCTAGAAAAATAGCATAATAATAGCCTATTAAAGTAATACAAATGCATGGAAACAAAAAAGGAAGATCCGTGAAATATTAAGGCAACATAACGTTTGGTTTGCCCAAGTGTTGTTGCTTAACTAAATATTGCACCCTCGTGAAATAATGAGGACAAAACCAACCTGTATGGAATGTGCCTATGAGTCTGAAGATCCCTATATTTTTTTCCAAGGCCATAGTCAATGATGTACACCTGAAATGAGATACCCAGTATGATGTATAGTTAAAAGAACTGAACGTTCAACTAAGCTATTTCTTATCAGATTCTATTAATTTTTTAGTTTTAGTTTGACAAAAGAATAGGATTCTATTAGAAGAGATTGGAAATAAAAGATGGGAAAACAAGTCATTCTCCTATAACATCCATAAATTAAAAAAAGAAAATAGGAAGAAGAAGAAAAGAATCGGTAATATTAACTCAAAATGCTGCCCAATTAATTAGCATACCTGATGATAAAGTAACCCCCTCCCCCCTAAAGAAATTGATTGCTTTGACCCAAAAGGAGGCTACAAAATGAAGTCTATCCAGGATCCGAACTTAAGGTTAAGTGTCTGCTTCATTTCATGGATTATCCCTTCTTAAAGTTTAAGGTCTGATGTGTTAACTCTAGGTAATAATCTTAGTGTAAGTCATTCATGATATATTCCAGTACTGGATGTCAGGATCTATGAAGCTGGAGAATAATCTTTTTGAACTACAATCTTATGCTTGATTAACTGATGCAAGTATCTAGTCACTTGGATGCCAACATTAGTGCACATGCCAAGGACAATTTCTCACTAAGATTAGACCTACTCAACATTTACGCCCAATAATAGTAGATTATCTTTCCAAATTTATTGAACAACAACAAGGATCTATGTTATGAACAGCAACAGTATCTTCAGAGAAAGTCACTGAACTAAAAAAGAAATACACCATCCCATAAAGTAAACATTATTATGATATGTTATGAACTGAACCATGTAGATGTGGTATTAAAATAAGTAAAATGTACTGGTGAAATTTGCTTAGGATTGTAAAGGAAAGGCCCAAGCATATGCAAGAATACCCTTGATTAACTAAAGGACAAACATGGGAACCAGAGTATGTAACTGCCAATCCCTAATATCACTCAACCTAGCTTATGTTTTGATTTTTTTTTGATGTATGAGAACCACTTCAATGTGTAATTCCTTTCCATTTATATCAAAGCCAACAAAAGAACAACCAAAATCTTCCAAATCACGGCAACAATAATGCCATGGATCAAATGACACCATTATATTCTATCAAAAACCAAGTCTTCCAAAAGGCCATTTAGATCTATGTCTTAATGGTTTCTCTTAGGAGTTTTTCATGTTCTTCTCCATCCTTCATTTGTTCATATCTTCTTACAGGGCTTCTATTGGACTCCTTCTACATGGCCAAACCATCTTAGGCGAAATTCTATCTTCTTTTCCTGAATATATGCTGTTCCTCAATGGATTCAATCATCCACAGCAACACTCTCATCTATGCAACACTTAACTTATGTTCTTGTTGGCACTTTATTGCTCAATGCTTGCCTTAGGATCTATGGTAAATTTTCCTTTGAGCTTGAGTGGCACCTTAATCACAAATAATGAATGGAGAACTTTTTCATTTCATCTACCTCTATTTCTTCATCACTTTGTATGATAGATACAAGATACCTAACCTGTGCAATCTTAAATTTTCACCTCTAAGCCAATGCTAGCACGCCTCTTGCTAAAGTTGCATTCCATATGCTCCATTTTACTTCCATTTAATCATAAACCATGTGATTTTATAGCTTCTCTCCACAACTCTAGTTTATATTTATTCCCTCTCTCAATTCTTCCACTAGGACTATATCATCAGAAAAAGCTTGCATTGAGGCATTGCCTGCAGGATATACTCATTAAGAATGTCCAATACCAAGGTGAAATGATAAGGACTCAAAGTTGACCACACCATGTGTTTGCAAACAAGTTTTAACTTCATCATGCATATCCTTGATAGCTCAAATATATTCAACACAAACTCTTTTCTTCTCCAAAGCCTCTCACAAGATTTCTCTTGGCATCCTATTATAAGCCTTTACCAGGTCAACGAAAATCGTGCATAGATCATTTAGTTTCCTCTGGTACCTCTCCATTAAACTCCACAAAAGGTATATTGCTCCCACAATAGGTAAGAGAATAAAAAGCAAAAAACAAAAAACAAAAATAAATAAAATGAAAGAAATCATCTTGAACGACAACATACTTGATTTGCTTTACGTCCTAGGCCCATTAGAAAATTGTCTGGCTTTATGTCACGGTGAAGGAAACCTCGTGAATGCATATATTCAACTCTGTTAATCTGAAAACAAACAAAAATATGAAGCAAATAAAACATTATTATCACTATTTAACATACGTTCTTTAATAACAGCTCCCATGTACACTTACTAATTGATCAGCAAGCATTAACACTGACTTCAATGTGAATTTCCGGTTGCAATAATTGAATAAATCTTCCAGACTTGGTCCAAGAAGGTCAATAACCATGACATTGTAGTCTCCCTCAACTCCAAACCACTTGAGGTGGGGAATCCCCGCTTCATTAAGGAAAAACCATATTGGATTACTCAAACGGAAACATCTTCATTGTTTTCTAATATTTTTTCATTCTTCATTTTGCTTTGATGGTATGGTTTGAGACTAAGGTTCTGATTTCATTAATGGAAGAGTATCCGGTGCATCAATCATGTTATACTCCCAGGATCAAGAAAACAGAGACAAATGTGTATATGTATAAAGATTAAGGTACATTTTCCATGTGGAACTTCTAGCATTAGGTAGATAATACTTTTAGTACTCTAAATACTAAAAAGAGAGATCTAGACTTACTTCCTCCTTGAAGAAGCATATACAATTTTGACTCATAGTGAAGCTGTGGATGCCTGGTCTTCACAGGTTCCTGAATATTTTGGTGGGACAGGAAGGGTTATTAGGAATAAGAAACATAGAATATCATGAGTAATTAACATCATTAACCGGTAACAAAAAGTTATCTCAAAATCCAGCAAAATATGATAAACAATCCAACATAAACTGTGTTTTAACAATATGAACCAAAGTGACCATCCAGCAGCTGCAAACAAAAATTACAAAAATAAAATAAAATAAAATAAATAAATAAACACGTGAAATTCCGCATGTCTCTTCAGTCCATAAAGTGGACTTATTTATTTCTTCTATACCTTAAGAACTGATCCACCAATTGTCCAGCAGTTAACACTTAACAGTAAAAGTTTTAAGGGCATGCCATTTCTTTTGTTATTTAAATCATATCTCATGTCAAATTCCATGTATCGGTATTCATCATTGGAACTCCCGTAGCATTGATAAAAAATTTATGAAGCTTCACCATTCAAAGTGACCATGTCTGCCTCATTGAATAATAATAAGAGACCCCATAGAGCATGATATATTTGTAAAGTCTAGAAAACAGGAGAACAACAGAGCAAAACAAGGTGATTTCATCATTATACACATTTAGGATGATATACTAAACATACATTCAGAAACACCATAAAAAGATCAATGATCAATCGATCTCTAGAAATCCATAAAAGAATTCAATAATCAAACATTGTGGCCCATCCAGACATTAACAAGGCTAAAAGTTTGAAGAGAACTTAACATACCAGCTTAACAGCCACCTCCTCTCCAGTTTGTACATTAACAGCTAAAATGTGAAAGAATAGAACGATCATGTATGCAGAAATAAAACAATAAAATACAATGCTGCAAAAAACAAAATATTTTTTTTTTGTTAAAAAAGAAAGAAAGAGAGAAACATGACCATACCTAAATAGAGCTCCCCAAAAGACCCACTCCCAATTTTCCTTCCCAGTTTAAACTTCCCACCAATCACATGATCCATATTGTGCCCAATTCAGCACGTGATTGTGCACAATCACAAACACAGAGAGAGAGAAGGGGGGGGGGGGGGGGGGGTGAAAAAGAGACCAAGCTGATTCTCCTCAGATTCACCTGAGTCAAAAATCCAAACTTTCTTCTAAAATCCACCCAAATCCAATAAGATTTCACAGCCCATCATCATATTAGTACTAAATTGGTGTATAGCATATATCCAGGACAAATAATAAATTAAATGAATCAAATTTATGAATTTTGCAACACCCCCAATCAACGAGGATGAAATCCTTATTCAGAACACAGAACCAGCTACATTCCTTCAACCCAAATCAATCATCCCCGACCACAAAAATTGCAGATAATAGGACCCCATTAACCCCAAAAACAAAAATGATTAACAAGTGTCAGGAACCACACACAAAAAATGACAAAAAAAATGAACTTTAATGCAAAACAAATTAACAGAGCAAAATAAAAAATAAAAGAGGAGTATGTGCTGGATCAGAGAGGAAGAGACAAAAGTGCTTCCACAAATCAGAATGTTGAGAGATTAACGGAGGAAGCTGGTCTGGTTCGGTATGAAGAGAGAGAAAGATGAGAGAGAAGAATGACAACAGAGAAAAAATGGATGTCTGAGATTATAGGAATCGCTGTTTTCTTTTTTTGGCTGTATTTTTTATTTCAGATTATTTTCAATTTTTTTTATTAACTTATTATTTTTATTCAATTATTCCACACTGTTTTTTTCTTTAAGCATAAAAATTGAACTGTGTTTTTTTTGTTTCCTTAAAATTTTCAAAGAAAAAGACGAGGGGTTACCCGAATCCTTCTCTGTTTATTTCGTAACATTGACTGCTGCCAATGTTTGTGCTGTCAAAAAGCATTTCCCTTATTTTCTTTTGTTTTTTTTTTCTTGTCTTTTTTCTTTTATTTTCCTTCATTTTTTTTTTTATTTTCTTTCTCTTATCTTCTTTCTCTGTCTAGATGGCTGCTGCTTGGGACAATTTGCTTATTTTTTATTTGTCAAAGCATTTAATGGTGATTGCTTCTAATTATAATAAACCTTTTGTGACTGTTTTTCTCTTTGCTTTTTCTTCTCTCTTTTACAAAACGTGCGGAATGAAACAAAGTTAAAAGATGTTATTAGAGAATAATATAAAGGATTTTATTAATCTCCTTCCACATAAGATAGTTATCTTATGTGTGGTAGAGAGAAAATAGGTGGGTCCCACCATTACAAGAAAAAAGAAAAAAAAGAAAAAAGTGGGGTGCGAAAATCGAAGTGAGAGAAAATGAGATAAGTTACCTCATGTAAAAGGAGAGTAATATTTCCCTAATATAAATTATTAAAAAAGCTTTTCATTTAATACTTTAAAAGTTTGGGTTGAAATAATTTTTTTATATGATATCAGAGTTTCAATGACTATAAGGTCATGAGTTCGATCTTCATCACTCTTACTTGTGGAATTAAATAAGCATAAGGTAAAAAAATTAAATTGAACTTATCCAATATCCACGTTTCAAGTCAAAAAGGCTCTTATATGATAGATTATGTTAGAGAATAATATAAACCATTAAAAATACTCTTACCTAATATTTTAAAGTTTTGGATTGAATTGATTCTTTACATAAAATTTTACTTTTAAATTTTGTTTTTTTTTTTTACTTTGTGTTAAAAAAAGGTTATTATTGAATAACCTTAATAACACTTTGATCCATGAAGAGATATATATTTGTAGGTTTATTTTTTATAATTTTAATTTATTTCAGGATTATAATAATTTTTATTATTATAATGTTTTTAATCTTTCAATCCAAAACGATATTGTTTTGGAAGTAAACTTTATTATAGGTTTTTTTCCCTATTTTTAAAACGGTGCATTTTAGAATAGAGATATTACAATAGGATAAATTAATACCTATCTGGTTTAAACAAAAATGTGTGAAATTCATTTAATTAAAAAAAAGATGGCGTGACTTTTTAGTTTTTATGTCTCTGCTGGAGAGTGTGTTTTTCTCTAATAACAGGAAAAAATATATACTCCTTTAAAATATGGATTCGCTCTGCAGCTAGTTACTGCGTATAAGTTATCTGTAGTAAATTCAATATGACATCGTTTTGGGACGGAAATTATGGTATTTTTATAATTTTAATTTATTTCAGGATTATAATAATCTTTATATTTATAACTTTTTAAGATTTAAATATCAAAACGACGTTGTTTTAAGAATAAATGCAGATAACTTATCTGCAGTAACTATAGAAACATTTTTCCCTTAAAATATTACTATATTTTTAGTGAAAAGTATAGACTCATATAAAGTACAGTGTAATGATTTTCCAATGGATATGCCACGAGTTGTATAAAATCCATAACCCTCAAAATAAATTAAGTAAAAGTTATGATAATTGTTGTTAAAATCTTGATTTATCACTACGATTTTACGTTTTTACGATTTCTTTCATCAAAACAATTTTACTAATATTCCAAACGCTTTTATATTTTTATGATTTTTTTACGATTTTTTAATATTATAATTTTAGATTTTACGATTTTATTTAAGATCTCGATTTTAACGGCATTATTTATCATCATACGATCAAGGAGCTTATTATAACTTATACAAGAGCGGAATATGCGATTAATTATAAATTCTACTAAGCCTACTCCAGAAAAAGCCCTCCAGCAATTAATGCAATGCCCAACAGATTAAAACATAATGATGAAGGCTTTTTATGATAATGAAGGCATTCTATCTTAAAAAATGAATCTCATTGGCAACATCCAAAAAAATAATAATGAAGGCTTTTATGATAGAAAACTATTTGCAATAATTCATAGGAATTGATTGCGGAACTTATTGGGCCGATATGACATTTTCATGTTGAAAATTGCAGACTTAACGATGAGACAGGATTCTTTGACACCGGTGTCAAATTTAAAGTTTGACACCTCATCTGAGAGTCGTTAGATCGAAAAAGATCGATGGTATCACATGCTTACAAATCAAAGTCGTTGATCTTTTTCGATCTAACGACTCTCAGATGAGGTGTCAAACTTCAAATTTGACACCGGTGTCAAAAGATCCTACCTCCTTAATGATTGATATATATATATATATATATATATGGAAAAATATTTCTTCAACCACTTTAGATAAGGTTGTCTACAGCTAGTCCTTTTTAACTAAGTATGACCGATCGCACTTAGTTATAACAATAAAGCTGTTCTTTTTTTTTCTTTCCTCAAACACTATCGGCTGACGTGGCGGAGAGAGAAAATGCAATTTCAATGTATGACCGGTCATACTTAGTTAAAAAAGGTAACTGTAGATAACTTTATCTAAAGTGGTTGTAGAAATACTTTTCCTATATATATATATATATATATATATATATATATATATATATATATATATATATATATATATATATATATATATATATATATATATATATAGAGCTTATCATTTCTCAAGATGCCGGAGATAACTAGATAAAGTTATCTCCGACTACTAAATCATAATCGTACAAAGATGGATCAATGGTCATAAAGGAAGAGAGAAAAGGGGAATCATAATCATTCAAAGGTCAATCAATACATATAAGGAAATAAATAATCAAAACGACGTAGTTTTGGGGTGGCCGGAGATAAATTTATCTCAATCAGCTTGAGAAATGTTTTTCCCATATATATATAGACTTATCGTTTCTCAAGCTGCTTGAGATAATCTTATTTCTAGTTACTAAATCATAACCGTACAAAGATGGGTCAATAGTTATAAAGGAAGAGTGAGAAAAAGGAAATCATAACCATTCAAAGGTGAATCAATTAATATAAAGAAATAAATAAATAAAACAACGTAATTTTGGGGTATAGCCGGAGATAAACTTATCTCAAGCTGCTTGAGAAATGTTTTTCCCTATATATATATGGATAGATTATTCTGCCTACTTTTGCCTACCCCTCTCAACATCATTAGATTATAATCTCATCCAATGGTGAAGATTTATGGGATAAAATAAACCTTTTTACCCCTTTCTTCCATTGCCTCCCACACTTTCTCTTTCCTCCCTTCTCTCTCCATTGCCTTTCAAATTTCCAATCTCTCAGAAACTATGAATCCCAACGATAATTTTGAAACCATGTTGATTTTACAGAGGTAACAAAAAAGATACACGACCATATTCAATATAATCCAAGCATTTTCACAATTAATTTTAACTAGAGGAAACACCATATTTGCCCTGCAACCATGGCAGTCTCTTTCACACTAAAGAGAGATGAAAATTATGGTTGTTATGGACCTGAGTAAGGCCTACACCCACAAGAAGCCCAAATCATACAAGCCCAAAGGCAAGCACCATAAATAGGAGCTAAAGACCACTGGTATGACTGATCTCTCTCTAACCCTATTTTATGCAATCACACAGCGCACACACACCCCCTTGGGCTAAGGCCGTCATACAGTGTGTAGTGATTCGCTGACCCCAAGATACCTAGTTCATAGGTATCTAGAGAGAAAGCACTAGATAGGGGCTTAGCCCCTCTTTATTTACAAAAAAAAAAAAAGCACTAGATCCAACATCAAATATCTAACCTAGGGTTAGACATCTCTGCCTCAGGCAGAACATTGGCGCCGTCTGTGGGGAATCACGAATTTTTCCTGCGATTACGTGTGTAAAAGCCATCGATTGAAATGGTGAGGGCAACTAGGGGTGTTAACAGGTTGTGCTGAGCTTTGGTCTTAAAAGGCTAAGCATGTGTCTAAATGTATCAGTCTGACCTAGCCTGTTACCTGTTATGAATATAATTATCAGCCTGTGGCCTGTCTTATTTACAAAAAATAAAAGTCTGGTTTAGCCTGTTAGCCTTTTTTTTTTTAAAATAAGACAATAAAATTCTATCCAAACAGAATATACAATCAACAACACTATTAATTCCATAACTATTCATAAATTCAATGTATATTCAAGCAGCATAATATAGAACAAAATTATTCAAAAAGTCTGTTTAAACAATAAAATGGGGTGAAATGGATTGAGGAGAGAGATGGGCTATTACAAGTAGTATAATAAATATAAAAAAAAATTAATATACTAGGTCAGCCTGAGAGGCTCCAAGGCCGAGCTTTTGAATTGGAGCCTGAGGCCTTTTTATTAAACGAGCTTTTATACAAGTCCAAGCTTGGTTCCAATAACCAATTTCAGACATGTAAGTGCAGGCCTTCACGAGCCGAGCCAAAGGCCCCTGGTTTGTTTACCACCCCTAAGGGCAACGAGAAGTGGATTTCGACAACCCTCAACTTCGAATCCCGGATATCAGCCCATTCCCCCCACTAGGGAGGATCCGTCAGGTCAACGTATTGTCCAGGATCGTCAGCAGCAACAGATCCCAGATCCTAACGCTATGCACGTCAGCAATGTATATTCTGACTCGACATCAACTCTGGCGGTTAACCCGGATGCCCCATATGTACAAGGGATACAACCAATAGGAGTGCAGGCTGCAAATGCGGTCCAGGTGCCAAATGATGCAGCTAATGATCCGCGGGCACACTACAGATGAATTTTAGGACCTGAGAGACGCCATTGAAAAGTATATCAGGGACGAAAAGCTGCGTCAGTACTTAATAA